AACTGGAAAGACGGTTAAAGAACAATATTCCATGACGTCAGTGGCATTTATGACATGCCCTTTAATTACCCTTACCAGTAAATCAGCGTGTGCACTTTAGTACAGCAGAGTAGGGCATACTTCAAAGGAAATAGTAGTACTGTTGATTAGCTAATGAATACACTATCAGAGAACTCAAGGAGATTTTTTACTTTATTACTTACTTTAAAGAATAATACTAATTAAAGACATACTACGCGCCTCAGGTCCACTGCTGATTTTCTGAAACAATGAAACTCTCACATGCATTTTTTAATTATCTGCTCTGTGCTTATTAATAGAAGGATGCTGTCTTGTCCTCTGGCTTACACAATGAATTCTCAGGAGCCCAGTCATACAAACAGAACATAGAAATTAATCTAACCGTATCTGTGGTTGGTAAATGATCCCTGTTCTTTTGATGGCCAAGGATGCCTCCTTTTCTCCCTCTTGAAGCACTAGAAAGGCACAGAGGTGTTTGTCAAGCCCCAGTTGTTCCCCAGCTGCAGCTGGGAAATTGGACTGTGTGCCTCAGGCCAATACCTGCAATTGGCTTGCAAGTAGAATAATTTGTTTAGTGTAAATCAGGATTATCTCCACAGTGGTCATTGTTATTCTATCCCTATCTCTGGTGCAAAGGGCAAAATCAGGATCTGTATTTTCTGCTGCTATAAAAAATATCTGCCTGGGAGTACTGATATATTCCCATTGCCTTCTGTTGCAATGCATTTATTAGTAGAGCTCCATCCAACCATGACTGCCTTGCCTCCTTCCCACCTATGCTATAGGTAGGTAGTACCTGCTCATGTTTAGTATTGGTTCTCCTCTAATAAACAGGCAAGTTCTGGCCAGGACAGGTAGGTATGGCCCTCCCACACCACAGTCAAGTTGGAGGAGATGGGTGCACTGCTCAGTGCCCCAGCAGTAGAGGGTCACTGTGCCCCCCAGGTACGGTTGATAGCCTGGGCTTCTGGTGGCTAAGACCTCTTGGCAGCTGGTGAGTCCCTGAAACACGGACTATCCCATTCAAACCACTTGGAGAAGTTAGATGAAACCTAGCCTGAATTCCTCTGTGTTTTACAAGGCTCCTCCCAACAGCCGAGGTTTGATGTAGGAGGCTGCCATAAGTAGTCTCAATGATTACAAGGGTATCAAGCACGTACTCCTTACTTTTGTACCTCACATTGAAGCTGACAGCTTGCAGCTTCCTATATGCTTGCCTGCTTTAGCCTACTGTAATTGAGGCTCTTATCTTTTAAAGGTCTTTATAAACCAGAGTTAACCTCTGCCACAGACCCACAGGGGCCTGTGCTCCTGACTGCAGGGTGAAAGAACATGCCTGGGCTGGGGGTGTCACGAGGAGTCTCTAGACCAAGAAACGAGGCCAAAACTTCACAAGGACTGAAACCTCAGAGTTAACATTTCACTCACATTGGTTTCCTCATGGCTGAAGTACATTAAATCATGAGTGAAGCATGCTGACCACCTTTTAGGTTGCCTGGGGCAGGAAAGCGGAGCATACATAAACATCATACACACCTTGGTACATAACAGGTGTGAAATACGAGCTCCTCCCAGCTTCACCCTGATTTTTATTTTTATTTTTTTTCCAGTGTGGCTCATTTCAGAAGTGCTAATCCTTTGCTTTAGATAAGAAATGGTTTTGCAGTGTGATAGATTTGACCCTATCACACAGTCCTGAGGCAGGCAGCTATCTACTTGCACAAGGCAAACTGGACATGCCTAAACAGCAGAGTGGGACCGATTTGTGCTGCAGAACAGATACAGCACACAGCTGTTGGTGCCTGTCCACCTCCTCCTGATGAACTCAGCCACAGAGAACTGTTAAGATCAGTGCCCCACTTACCCAGACCTGGGTCTGCTGGGATCCATATGTGAAGTTTCTTGTTGAAAACTGATCATGGAGACCTAGAAAGACAAGCTGTTTTTCCTGAAATTCCTGCTTATACAAAGCTTCTATTTAGTCCTAGGAATTTTATCAGCACTCCGAGCAAACCCTGGGACCAGACAATAAAGTGGGAGCTCTACTGGCCTCCTTCTATCTAGTGCACAGATAATCCTAACAATACTCTGGGAGAAATCACATTTTTTAGTCTTCTGAGAGCTGCTAAATTGCATTGACAGCATAATTTCTCCACACCTATGCTCAGTGCAGCCAGTATGCAATACAAAACCTTGAAGAAATCCCTTGGTGGTTGCAATGAAGAATAAATGTTTTGTCAGTCCATCTTGTAAGCCATTTTTTTTTTGTTGTTTTCCTTCAGATGAAATAGAAATATTAATTTCCAGGCTCAGGGTTCTAACCTTTCATTGATACAAGACAAGTCAAAGTTTACAGGCCATCACTGTGTTATAAGGAAGGATAGGACAAGGGGAAATCGTTTCTAACTGAAAGAGGAGATATTTAGACTAGATATAAGGAAAAAATTTTTTACAGTGAGGGTGGTGAGGCACTGGAATAGGTTTCCCAGAGAGGTGGTGGGTGCCCCATCCCTGGAGACATTCAAGATCAGGCTGGACTGGGCTCTGAGCAATCTTAGTGAGCTGTAAGTGTCCCTGTTCATTGCAGGGGTGTTGGACCAGATAACCTCTACAGGCCCCTTACAACTCAAATGGTTCTATGATTCCATTACTATTGCTGTCTTCAGAAGACTGTTCCAGGCTTGGTGAAAAGTCCCTTATGGTTTAAAATAAAACAAAATTAACCTTGTGACACAACTTATTCTGTGAAGAACAGAATGTCCAAACCATGCAAACCTGAGGCAGACCCTGCCCTGGTGCAGGCAGTGCTGGGAGATATGCCTGCCCAGAACTCACTGGCACTTCTCCATGCCACTGCTTTGGAAATGTGGCTCTGCCTGTGTGTTAGGCCACAGAGTATTTTCAGGAACTATTTGCAATAATTTGAAATGCATCTGTGAAACTTAGGATGTATTTAATAGGAAATAATAAAGATGCAGGGCAGTTTTAGAGAGGAAAGAGGATGTTTTAGGTAGGCAAAAAGTAATGACTTATGCTGAAAGTGGGTCAAGACACCACAGTGTTTACCACGACTCACAGGAAAAGTGCCATGGGGTTTTTCATAATGACAAAAATTCAAACTCTCAGCATTGGGTCTCATCCCAAAACATAATACAGCTTCAGGCCAAATGGGAACTAATCTGGCCTATAAATCACAAAGCAGCAAATGTAACCTACTTAGTCCTGAGCTCAGTCACTTTTGCTCAGCTAAATAAAGCCTTTTAGACAATTTTGTTGCAAAGATGTCAGGAGATTGAGCATTCGTTTTCTTCTCTTGCCATCATGCCATCACTAATAACATTAACTGTTTCAGTTAAGGCTAATTTCTCACCTGAGCTTATCTGGCTTCACCTTCTGACCATTAGAGGAAGACCACTGTTTTCCTCTTCAAGATCAAAGCCCTTTCAATACTAAGATTTTTCTTCCCATGAAGAGACTCACTTAACCGGTCACCTTTGAGTCTTTTGGATACTTTCAGCAGACTGTGGTCATGAAATTTGTCAAGGCCAGACAATTTCTCCAGTCCTTAAATCATTTCTGTGGCTCTTTTCCCCTACGCTCTCCAAATTTCAACATCCTTTTCAAATATGGATGCCAGTTCCAAATGCAGCATCACAAATTACCTCCTTACCTCTACTCAGTATTTCCCAGTTTATTTCAGAGAATGTATTAACACTTTTGCATAGTGCATTGTTCTGACAGCTCCTGTTTGTCTGCACACCCACCAGAGCACTTGAATTCTCCACCCCTCTCCTATCTCTTATAGCAAATTTCATCGCATATCTTTAAGGAAAGAAGGTACATGTTACTTACATGTAACAAAGACCTCAAAGCCTTTTGCAACATGTGGAGCAGAGGCTTCTTGGAATTGTCCCTCAAGCCCTCAGTTTCCTTTCTCCCATGGCCCACTGCAACAAACCTTGCCCTATATTTTAATATTGATTTCAGTAGGTTTGACACAACCCTGGAATCTCCAATGTATACAAATTTAGGAAGTGAAGGATCTGTGAGGAATGAAGTTCAGGACAGCTGGAAAAGGAAGATCTGGAGCCGCAAGCACTCAGGAAGAGCTGGAGTCCATTTTGGGTTTCTACATCCTGTCTTCAGCTAAGGCTCTTGGTAACAGGGAGAGAGTGTAACTCATAAAACTCATGTTCTCTTGGAAAGAATGAGAATTGGTATTATTTTTATGCAGAACAGTGAATTACCCAAGTTCTATAGCAAATACTGCAGAACTGACATACGGCTCTATCTAGTTTTGCAGCAAGAAAACCAAATCAAATCAGCTGCTTTGGCTCCTCACTTCACACCAGGTGAAGGTCCTTGTCCTCTGATTGCTCACAAGTAACAAAAAACCTCCAAGTTGCCACAAGGCCTGTTTGTCTGTGCTTCATCCAGTTCACCAAACCAAGCCCAGCAGTTGTTGCACACTCATATACGTCCACAGCACACATCTCACACCAGCATATGCTCTCAATACCTCAGTGTTATTTGGCGTGGGAGCCTGAAGAAGATGCCTAAAGTCATTAGCCATTTAATTTTGATTGTTTCTAGAGAAAAGATGCTATGATAACATGTAACTGTATGCTTTTTTTTATTTTGTTTTGTTCTGAATGTCAACTCTGAAGCTTCATCCTGGCACTAGAGAGCTGCTCTGTGGTCAGTTTGGCTTGTTCAGCCTCACTAGTAATTGAGACATGCAGCCAAACTCTCTTTGTTCTTTCCCAGCCCATCCCAGGGGCTGTCACTGAAGAAAAACAGGGATACGTAAGGAAAGCATCTGGCCGGGCCGTCTATCAGTATCAGTGTTATTGATGATGTATGAGCCAGAGAAAAATCCAGCTCACAAACCCAGAGCTGGGCCAGCTTGTCAGGACTGAAAAGCAAATAAATATATATATATAAATAATAATTTTTTAAAAAGAAAAACCTTTATTTTGTCAAGCAGCTTCAGCAATATGTACATTTGGAGATTGGCTTTGGTGAGTAGGAAGGTACTCTTGTAGAGCTCTGATAGAATTCTTAGATTTTTTCTATGTAAAATCATAACAGAACCTGGCTTTGAGCTCCTCAGCATCTATAGAATAAGGCAACGCGGTACTGCATCCCTCTTATCTATTGCAGAGGGACAAAAAACTGCCTCTTGTCCAAGGAGGCAGAGTATTTAATTCTTGATACTCTTGCTGATAAAAACAGGAAACACCTTCCCTATGAAAGGTTGTTTTGGTTTTTTGGTTTTGTTTTTCCCTTTCCCCTCTCCCCTCCATCCCCCCACTCCTTATATCACCTAAAAGAATGTTTTCAGACTCAGATCCGAGATAACTCTTCACATTTTTTTTGTGCCTTGCAAGACTTCCTATCTGTGAGAACCATCCTAAGTCACACCTTGGGTAAAGGTGGTACTGAGAAGGCAGAAGAGCTTCCTGGGAGCCCTCTTAAATGATGCCACAGGGCACAGGGTTTCAAAGCAACGTGACATCCATAGGCTGCTGGCAAGAGTTTCAGCAGCCAGCTGAGTTTACTGCTGGGTCAGCAGCTCCAAATTAGGATGTGCTGGTCTGAGCTCCCTGTTTTATGATAACCCCAAGGAACGTAGCTCTGACCCACAAGGCCCTCTCCTCCTGCCCAGCAAGACTCCAGCTAAGGCTGAAGGCTGCTCAACACCTATTAGTGACAGCTTTTCATCCATTTAAGTGTCAGCACTGGAAAACCACAGAAAAGGGCCTTTCAGCCAACAAATGCTTCAAAAGGAAAGAGATTCATCCTCTTTCGCACACCCTCTGCTTTTTAAACCCAGTGTTCCCTTGCATGGCCCACTTTCCAGTTGGATGGGGCTAAACATCTATTAAGTTAGGAGATCCCAGCCCATGTGGTCCCCAGGTCAGCAGGGCTGGACTGCACCACAACATTAACCCACAGGGCGCAATGAACTGAAGTGGTCCAGCACCATGACAGTCTCCTTGTGTCTGCTGAGCAGGTCTGGTACAGACCAAACCCCAGGAGAGGCTGTTTGCTAGAAGCTGCTCTCTGAGGCCTGTGCCACTGTGTCCATCCCTTGGTCCTCACGTCAGCCCTGGGATTACAGAGCCCTCAGCCCTTTGGGTTTTACAGGCTGAAAAGCAAGCAGGCAGGGTCTCAGCCGGTGCACAGCAGCATAGATTCACTGCAAGGAGAAGAGCTGTCCCACTTCACCCCAAATGGATCTCATTCTGAGGAAGGTGAAGAGATGCACTGCAGCCACCCATAGGGTAAAGGCAGTCGACATCCCTATCCAGCAGCACAGCCAGCATAGCTGGAAAACACACAAAGTATGAAGTCTTGCTCCCAACAGCGAAGCACTGCAGAGGACTGGTCCTCAAAGCCAGCCAGAAGCTTTCTATTTCCCTCAGCAGCTCTAAATCAACATCTTCCCTTTTTCAGTGCCTTCAGCTGTGGTTGCCCTTCAGACTTCGCCACCAGAGGATGCCAGCAGACAGGCAAGGGCTCTGACAGCCCATTTGCTGATTTTTACATACACAAGAGACCTGCCTTCCACACATTAGCTACTGTGTGAAGGCCGAGCAAAACCGTTATGGTCCTCCCAAGGCATTTAAGCAGAAATACAACATGTGTGCACAAGAGATGCTCATGCTGGGAGGTGCACGACCCCAGTTGTACATACCTCTAGGAGGCATACAGAGGGGAGCTCTAAAAATGCCACTCATGGCACAGACTCAGCTAGGCAGAGCGGACATTTTGACTTAAGAACATCATTGAAGCCATCTGACATGCTGCCTGCATCCATAGCTTTTAATACAGATTAACTGCTGTGGCTGAAACAAAGGAGAAGGCATGGTGTACAGAAAAAAAATGATACCCTTTTATTTGTAGAGCTCTGATGAAACAACTTTCCAAATGCCATCCCATTTAAAAAACAATGGAAACCAACCTAACGATGTGTCAGTCACACTATACAGATCGCATCCTAAACTTCAAAGATGCCTAAATATCTTATGGAGTATTTACATATGTATCGGTTAGGTAGTAAAGTTTCATTGCAATTTGTTTCTTTCCAGTACAGGCTTCTTCAAATGGCAAAAAAATAACCAACCTGGGGATGCATTTGCTTTTTTGTACAAAACTTAGGAGCAAACAGCTAGGGCAATTTTCCTGAGAGAAGGCTTGTTCTTTGAAACTCCTGCTTTAGCAACTGGAAATACAGAAAGTGGATGAGTTTTGTTGCACTAAAAAGCCTAAGGATGCCTAGTTAAGTTTTTTCTTTTAAATTATTTACGTACCATTAAGTTAAAATGTTTACATTCATTCATTCGTATAAAAACCGTTGTTAAATCTTATGCAAATGATTTAACACTGATTGCTGCAACGCAAATTGCACTTCTTTTAAAAAAAATTATTGTATATATGGAAGAAAAAATATCTGATTGCTACCCTGTTTACAAATTTCGACTGACTCTATACAGTTCAGCCACAAAATATGAACTTTCATAAACCTCAGTCACAGTGTACTTCAAAAGTTCTAGCGCAGTCTTGCAAGGTGAGTAAATATCTTAAACAACAACAAAACGTCCTTCACCAGCTCGACCCCGTGAGGTTTGTACCAAAGGCTGTGATTTTCTCCCCCGGGCATCGCTGGGCTCTGGCACAAGGGAGCAGAGCGAGGCGGGCACAGGACGGGTGAAGAGGTCAAATGTCCGGCTCTGAGCGCCCACGCTGACTCCAGCAGTACACACTACCAACACTTCAGAAAGTATCTGGTTATCTCTAATAATTCAAGCCTCCCCAACGCTGACGGCGTCCGTCAAATTCCTGGGAGGAGAAGGTGATGAGAGAGTGAAAACAAATATACAATCAGAAAGGCAGCACTGCTGGGTGAGTGAAGATGTGTTTCTGGAATCTATCAATAGGTCTAGGTTTCTCTCTTCTTTTTTTTTCTTTTTTTTTTTTTTTTTTCCCTTTTTCCTTTTTATATTTTTTACTTTTTTTTTTTTTTTTTTTTTTTTTTTTTGAGTGTGTATGGCTGCATTAGCTATTCCCCACTGGGCACTTGCTTTCCCTACAGTTTTCTTGCATAGATGAGGATGAGGATGCTTCAGCAGAGCCTCTTAGGGGAACTGAAAGCCACCTCTGCCACCAAGGCACGGAAACAATTTCAGAGGAGCGTCCCTAGCCAGCACTCTCGCTGCCACCGCTCCGCAGAAGAAACCCCGCACGGACGTCTGGGGGCTGCTGCACTGTGCCGGGATCCAGCTTGGCTGGCAGCGGGTCACGCCAGAGCCAGGGCACACCAGTGATCCTGTCTGACGGACGCCGTCACCTCGGCCGTGGAGGTCAGGCTGACTCCTGTGTACAGCCCATCTTGACCTGAATACTTAAGGTTGCTGCTTTCGGGACTGGTGCTCTCTCCCGGGCCGGACATCACTGACGAGCTCGCCTGGAGAAGGACGGAAAGGAAAGGGAGATTTCACTGACAGGGAAAGCTTTGCACTGCTTTCCTAAGCCTTTGTGAAAATCCAGAGTTTGTGCTCAGCTCTTGAAATCACACAAGACCACAGAAAGACTGAGGCTGGCATCTGGCCCCACCCCTGCTCAAGCAGGACCACCCTGAGCAGGCTGCCCAGGCCCGTGTCCAGGCAGCTGCTGAAGATCTCAAGGAGACTCCACAGCCCCTGTAGGCAACCTCTCACCACCTTCCCCCAAACACTGTAGCTGAATCAATATTTTGGGAACAGCCTCTTCATTTTCCTATGCTGGCAAGGCCTAACTAGGTTGAAAGCTGCATTTGGAGAATAGTACAGTAGTTGTCTTCACAGCAAGGTGGAAAAGAAAGCATATCTGGAAATTAGACAGTAAGGGAGGAGTCGTGCATGATAAAGGATGCAGCTCATGTGTCCCACCACTCCCTAATGAAGGAACACAGAAGCCAGCACCAAACATGTGACCCAGGTATGGTGGCACCTCTAGCTTTGCTCCCTCCATGGGAGAAGCCCAATGCATCCAGCAATGGGTGCTGAGCACCTCCTATAGGTCAGATTTCTTTGGCTCCTGCAGACTCTAAGATATCTAAAATCACGCCTCTCTCTTCAAAATGCTCACCACAATCCCTTAATCCCCACAAGACTAACCACTATGGGAGATGCCCTTTTTATCTCAAGCAGAGCAACTACGCCTCTGACCCAGGAGCACATTTGCTCCATGCCACCTCCTATCACCTACGCACCCAAAACAAAGCGCGGGGAACCCTGGTAGGCACGAAGCTGAAGCTCTGACCAGTACTGTAATCAGTTCATTTATTTTAATGGAGAAACAGGGAGTTGCAAAGACAAAGAAACAATCATTTTTTCCATAAGGCTGAGCACATCTACTAGAGAGGAAAAATTTGCGGTGCCAGACAGAGAAGGGGCAACATTTTCACCTGATAAAGGAAATGTTTAAGAGCTGACTTCATGCAAAATTAACTCTTGGATATGTCAACTTTGAAACCTTAATTTACTAGTTAATGGATAGTCTTCGGACAGGATTCCTTAAAAAGAGGGGGAGAAAAAAAAAAAGACTATCCTAAACTTTGATTGCAGAAGCTTCCTGCCTGCTGTTTAAGTGAAAAGTATACATATTTAATCATTTTACAAGAGTAAAGCTCTTGGCTCTCCTGGAGCTATGCCAATCTAGCAGTTCTTACATAGGAAAAGCGGGGTTTTGCTTATTCAAAGGCAGTTTCTGAGCTGTACTTCACAGTGCTTTTGTTGCTAACCCAGCTGAAACTTCACCTGACAGAAGTGCTCACTGCCAGTGGTCAGTTCTGTTTGAAACAAACCAAAGGTCAATATTTTATTTTATTAAAATGTCTGATGGCTGCTATTCTTGCACTCAGTTTCATCAGCTGTTAGGCCAAAATGCAGAGAGTGCAGAAACAACCACTGCTCCAGAAAACAGACAGAATGGCTCCAATTTGGAAAAAAAAAAAAAAAAGTGTTTTTATATTATCCCTCCATCAGATACACAGTTACTGTTCAATAACAACTACTCTCTGTATCCTCTTTATCTGTGCCTTAATAATTCAATTAGTCAATTTTCACGTGAACCTTCGGGTCCATTTTTGGGTCTTGCAATAACCTGGATTTTTAAAATTCACATTCACTGTGTGGACTTCTGTTGGCACCACATACCTATTTTTTAACAGATTGAGTGTCCCCACACTGGAAGAAGAGTTTCAATGAGAGCTGAACAACACGTGTTCAGCTTTAGCTGAAAACACCAGGAGCTGCTTTGAAAGGTTCCTGTTTGCCCATATTTGCTGCTGTTGTTCCGGTAGGCAAATATCTTATCGCCACCTATTTTTTCCGGGCTCGGAAAATGTAGTTCGCCCTTTTCCTGATTCAGCTCCACAGAGGTGGGGCACAGCACTCTGCCCTTTCCATACCGGGTTATCAGCTCCCCCTCCCTCTGGCACCCCAGAAGGGAGGACGCAGAGGCATGTCCTGTTTGAAGGCCGCCCATCCCTGCCCAACCATGGCCGGATCCTGGCACCATTGAGCCAGCGTCAGGGCAGGACCTGGGCCTGGAAACCCCACCCCGGTAATGTCGTGACAAATCCAGACAGCTCAGGCTGCTCCCAGAGTGAGACACGGAAAACAAACTAGTGGAAAGGAGGTGGCTGAATCTTTGAGCGAGGTGACCCAAGCCTGCCTACCTCCAACTTCAGCAGGGGAAAGGCAGCAGAAGGTTGACTGGTGATTAGAGGACGTTTGTTAGCTGGAATAAAGAGCTGAACAATGTTGCTGAAGTCAAGAGGCTACTCCAGTTTGCAACAGCTGGCTCAATCAATGAAATAATGGATTTGTTTTTATTGCTGGTATCTGATAATAAGATAGATAATCAATGAAACTCGACTTCCTGAGGAAAAAATGATTGAAGTCCATTGGGAAGAACCTGCCTCCCGAACAAACATCTGTATCTGTAAGGGTGGTTTAAGGATCCCACCTTCTTTCTACACAAACCAGCAGGAGCCAGTTATGGGGCAGCCTGCAGGCAGGTCGTCTGGATCAGAGGTGACCTCTCTGTAGAGGATCTGCCCTCCATGCTCACAGCCAGACCCCAGCCAGATGCACAGAGGGATTTAGACACCCACATCCTCCCCAGTCCTGCTAGCCCGGAGCAGAAGCGGGCTGCTCGGCCCAGCACTAGGGAAACATCTCCGGCTGGAAGACTCATTGTTTATTCTACCCACTCCTTCCTGCACCGTCTGCCTGCCATGGAGACCAGGGAGAGGGGAGGGTGCTGAAAGGCAAAATCTCTGGTCAAAAAGTTGCGCTAACATCTGGAAGGGGTGGCTGAGAGGCTTGGTCTGAACCTCTGCTCTATCAGATAGACCTTTGCTCCTTCTGCTTCAAAAGTTTAAAACACTCCAGGAATTTTGGACATCACACTAGGTCTGTGTCTCAGCCAGTAGGCTGATCCCTTCCTCTCCTATTAGCACAGTTTAGCTTTGCTGCACTTAAATAATAACCGTAGTCAGCTGAAACACACTTGCAAAAACGTATTTCATGTATAATGTATTTTGGCAAATGGCAGTGAGCCCTTCATTTTCCAGTCTCAGCCTCCCTCCACTCACCCGTCCCCACTCACAGCACTTTCTCCAAATATTCTCTCCCTCCTTTCCAAACAGGGGTTTCAGTACTGCAAAACCACAGCTTTTCCCTGATTTAGTGACCCCCTTGCTACGCAAAGCTGTAATTTTTCGCTAGCCTAATTGATCCTTTTGTTTATATTGCAGATGTGTAAGTTTACATATCTTCTAATCTCTCCTTTGTATTATAGCGACATAAATCTGTGGTTAATACTTCATTAATTTCCTAAAGGAGGCAACTTCCAGCATGGTATGGGAAAGCTGATGACCCCACTGCTGTCGAGGGCTGTTTGAGTAATTGGTTTCATTGCTTTTGCAATAAAGCTAAACAAAGCAAAATATGTGTGTCTACAAGCATGTATAATGCTTGAGTAGAACAAAAAATACTCCTTATCCCTTGGTTTTCCCCACTGAAACAAAAAAAAGATGGATTGCTTTGTTCCATTTGATACAAAAAGAAATGCTTTCTCTTGAACACGTGTACACACAGAAAAAAAAAAGTGAACGGCTAAATTTATGAAACTGAGTGGGGAGAGGAAAGCAGAATCCTATTTTGTGCAAGAGCAAAGACTAATGCAAAAGAGGAAAGAGATCTGAATTAATTTCCATTCCCTGACAGGGAAGATTTAAACTGACATTTCATATCTCCCAGCATAATGCCCTGACTACCAGACTATTTGGTGTTTTAGGTTGCCACGTTTCTCATGCCTCCTACTGATCTTATTCCACCTGCTTTAAATATTGACTCATACCAGGACTGAGGCACTGTGTTCTCATTTTCCAGGTGAAAGTCCTAACGACCATGCTGGTGAGTCTTTCTCATGAAGCTGCCCCAGCAGCTAACAAATTACTCTATATTAACTGAAATCTCATCATCACGTAGTCTGAAGGACTCTCGGCCATTCAACTTCCCAGTGTCCAGGTGGCTGGGAAATATTTTTAAGAGGTTCATCCAGACTCTGGGAGATACTGTACTCACAGTGGTTCCCGTCACCTGCATTTATGTCCTATCAATCTGCTGCCTAGAAGAGAGCAAATATCAAAACCTCCAACAATCTCACGAACCCTCTTCTGAAAACAAAACAAAACAAGTATGCGAGAATTCAGCTGAGACTGTCTTGTCATCTGGGGAGCAGCTAGAGCTGTGTTTTTCTTCCTCCTTACCAACTGCAAAGGTTGGTTCCTTCAGCTCTCTCACTTTCCATACAGTACTGAAAAGCCAGTCCCGAGCCACTTTCTGAAGGTCAGCCTCCAAGAGAAGTAAACATGTTTTACCTGCAAGATGTCTGTCCTAAGTTATTCTACAGTAACTCTGTGGCATGTGGTTACAGTCCTTCTCAGATAGCTCCCACTCGGAGGTAAAGGGCATAGCACAGCCCTCTGCAAGAGGAGCTGCTCTGGTGCTGCTGAGCCTCTACTGACATCAGCTCTGGCTCAAGGAGCCTCCATGCCCTGCCATGAAAAGCAGATTTTACAGCAGTTTTCATCTTGCCTTTTGTCCTAATAAGGGAATAAAGCCCTTCTGGTAATCACATCAGTTGGAGCCCCTGCATGGAAATGTATGGGTGTGCACTAAAGACCGTGCCCTTCATTTAGCAAATTATTCCTCATAGCTTTTCTCTGTGCTGTTTCACCAGCAACAAAGGGAAAGCAGGTATAGATGCAGATGCAGGCTGCCTGAAACCTTCGAGTCTTCTTTTTATGGGGATGTAAGGCAACTTCATATATCATGCAGCTGGGCCTTTTCCATATTAGTAACACAGGACTCCCAGTACTTACACTGCTTAGGAAAACAGAAATGGGCCTAAATCCTAGATCCAGATGTGAATTTGGCAAATAGCTCCTTTACAATGGGGCAACGAAATATCTCCGATCCAAACACTTTTACATTCTGAGATGTTTGAAATCAACTTTGCACCCATAGCAATTCATTAATCATATCTTTTAAATGTTTAAACTTCAGCTAGAATGTAAAATCAACATTTAAGGTTCTTGACAATTTGTCTTGAAATTGGCATCGCATAAAGTTCCCTTCATGAAATAGAGTGTCTCAAAGACATTTTGGTGAGTAATTGCTGCCCTTCTCTTTTTCTGCCCTCCCCTCTTTATTTTACTTTAAAACAGATAAAGAAAGGTAGGGCAAAAAGTGAGTATTACTGACACAAATGAATTCTGCTGAATTTCATTTCCATTATATTTTTACATAACTAGGAGCTCTTTTGGCAGCCTCCCACAAGAGACATAATAAATTACTTTTGTACCAGTAGAGGAATTCATTTTCTCTGTTTCATTTAGCAACAACATGGCTGTGAATTTCAGACAAGAGTTTCTAAAACGTCATCGTATTTTTTCTGCCTAATGTCGATTTGGCATTTTTCCCTTTCTCGCAGAAGGGCCAGAGAAGAAAAAAAACAGAGCAAGGCAACAACAAGTTGCCATGTCAGTTGTGCAATGTGCAGGTAATGGACAAGTACACTCTCTGAACAGGTGCCCAGGTTTCAGCAACATCACCCATCCTGTTAAGGCAACCAAAGATTAGAGAGCCCGGATTCATCCATCCGAGGGCTTTTACCTCCTGACATGGCCTGAAGAAGCTTATTCTCCTCATGCAAAGCCACTGCCTGTGCTAAGAATAGACACGAACCTTCAGGCTATCAATATTTGAGCTCAAACATGGGGAAAAAAAAGGAAAGTAGAAGTCCAGTAAAGTATCTGTGCTTCGCACACGTGATCAGATTAAAGGCTTCCATGTTCTAAAATGCTGCATTCCCTTCCCTCTTGACAGCTTCAATGGGCCTTAAGAGCACCCAGCTCATGGCGTTTTGGCTCATGTTCTCCTCCATCCTACTGAATTGCTGATGCTTGAGCACAACAGGAGATACAGCCCACCTCCATTGCTTCCTTTTACAGAGTTTTTGCACACAAGAGCTATTTTGCAAGTGCTTTGTACATGCCTGCCACATGTACATACATACATTCCAGGGGAATCATGGTAGAGAAAAAGCTGTGACTTTTTCCTCTCTTAGCCTGATCTACAGAAAAACCAGGCATGTCCTGGCACCGGGGGATGCCCTCATGTAATTAAGAGCAGCCTCAGGCTTTCTGCGAGTCGCTCATAGTTGCCAGCATCTCCCAATTCATCTTTTGCCTTGGGAACACTCAGCTCTCTCTCCTCTTTTACTCACACAACTCCTCCTACCGAAACCGTATCACAAACTGTACCACGAAATGGTAAAAGAAATATCACTAATATTGGTTCTGACACGCTGCCCTAAAGAGAAGGGCTGCCGAAAGGAAAGTGGATGACAACCAGCCAAGAAATTGGCAGCACGGGGAAAATGGGATCTCTCCTTAAGGTCTCTCCTTCCAAAAGAGCACACAGCTGCACCACCTACAGCCCACACCTGTGAGGTGGATTTTGCTGATAGTTCTGCCCATTGTAAAAATCACACAACATTCCTCAGATCACACAACATTCCAAGCATCCAAAGGGAAAGGTAAGGAAAATCTGGCTGATTTTTTTTCCCTTTGGAAATATTAGGGGAGAAATTAGAAAATAGTGTTCAATGCAGGGAGCATGAAACCCAACACAGTGCACTTTTTGGTTACTATTTCTCCTTTTTTTTTTTTTTTTTTTCCAAGTGATCTGTTTATTTTATTGGACTGTCAGGGTTTTCTCATATCAAAGAGGAACCCTGTTAATAATATCCTTGCCTGACAGCATTAGAACCAAAAACCCAGTGCTTCTGAAACTTGGTGGCCCTGCCAGCCAACAAACAATTGCATCTGCTAAAAATGCTTTTTGTTGTTTCTTTCCCTCTGTACAATGAAACTTTGAACGTCAGCAATTAAAACTACTGATAGAAACTGGGATGTGGGAGTGCTGGGACATATTGAAAAATACTTATTATAAACAATGTCTTCTTTTTATTAAAAAAGGAGTAGAGAAAGCCACATTAGGAAAGCTTTTGAAAGAAATGATGTGGTAGATTAAAGGATATGAAGATCAAAAGGAGTGTGGATATGGGTATGTATAGCCAAAAGGTTAGGAATTAATCTGTATTAAGGCGTGCAATTTTAACAGTAGTATTTGTTATCAAATGTGATAACTGAGCGAAGAAAGGCAGTTTGAGATGGTATGAGCGTGTGACTTAATATAAGGATCAAAACTACTAGAGCTCATGGCTGTCAGAGGCTGAGCATCTGACCCTGGAGGAGCCCTCTGCTAGCAGTGGGCTGATCCACACACACTGCAGTCAGCTGGGATCCTCTGCCTGCTTTCAGCTCAGTCTGAGTCCGAGTGTAGAAATGAGTTTAAACCAAAAGGCATTATGCTTCCCTTCAAACAGCAGGACAAATTCTTATCAGAGAGCATTTCAGAAAGAAACGACATGTGCATAAATGTTTCTTGAAAGGATCAATCGGGCACAGTTGGTTGGTTTTGCTTCAGAGAAAAACCTTTGAGAGGGAATAAGCAAAACACTTCAAAACAAAAGGGCTTGGGCTAAGCCGCGCTTAACTTAATCATAAAAATTATATAGATCTTAATTAAGGGGTTTGTAAAGTACTTAAGCTTGTCGATCTGTTTACAGCTATATGTAATATCTTCCGAAAATCTTGTTCCAGTATCAGCTAACAAAAGTGGAAAGTTTATTTAGATTATTGTTCTGCTAGATAAGATAAAAGCTGTGATAACAGCGCACAGCGATCAGCCTGCTTAGCAGTGTGGATGCTGTGTCAGTACTCACCCCCGAGGCTGCCGGCTGTGTGCTTGGGGAGGCATTTTTGCTACAGTCATCTGAGTTAGTAGAAGACGTGGATGTTGGAGTCATAGGAACTGCAGTAGTACTGTTACCTGAAAGAATCAGAGTCAGGCATTAAAAACAAGAATTTTCCAACCAAGGAAAAAAAAATCCTAGCATCTCAACTATCTTATCTTTTCATATTTACCAGAGCATGCCTTTGACTTATTTATGTTCTTAGGTTTTCGTTTCCTTGTCTGAATTCCTTCTTTTTTCATAGCAAGCGGTCGGGGAACCTGAAAGGAAAAAATTTCCACACCAATCTTAGAGTTGTGCGTGTGCCCCAGTGACCAAAAATCAAAACTAGACTATAAGAGCAAAGAGTGATGTTCAAAATGCCTGTTCGAGTCATTTTTCCAGTCACAACGTAGCAATTCCAAAAAACATTGTATTTTATTTGGGCAAAACCATGAGTTGTTTCAAGGGGAGTTTTGTCGGAGTAAAGAAATGGGAAAATGTTTTTGTTGATGTAGGCTAAACGGCTTTTCCAACACCTCAGTCAGTCCACAGACCAACAGCACCAGTTTAAAGAAAAAAAAAAGCACTGTTTGGTCATAGGTCATATGACATTAAGATGGACTGGATGTATCTGATCCCTAATTCCTTTTCCCAGCCAGTTGGGGATTATCTTCAGAGGTTTGTTCTGGAAAGCAAGAATGCAAATGAGGGGAAAAATTCTCCTCTCCTTGCAGTGCAGCTATGCAAACCAGATCAACACCAGTTAGCTTTTTAGGACAGAAGCTTCACACCATAATCAGCGTAGCATTTGTTCTTATAAGCAGTTCTGCATGTGGTACAGGTTTAAAGTATCCAAATTTATGTTTGTATAGAAAATGAGTTCAAAAGTCAGCTTTGTGTTTTCTGTATAATCATAGTGATTATACAGAAAACATTGGCTTAAAATGTATTTTAACTTCATGATAACATGAGTTTGGAAAAATACAGTTCAGCCGTGTGCTTATTATCATTATAATGTTTAAACCAGTGATAAAATTTACTTTTTTTTCCAAAGGCTGGACCGCGTACCAACCACTCCTAATGCCCACTTTCTTCAAACACATGTGCTCAGCCTTAACATAACGCAATGGGTCACCATGGGCTCCAAGTCTCAAACTATATTCCATCACATTCAAGTTATTTTCTTCCTGCATTATTGCCTACCAAGGCTGAAATCACGTGTAAAGCTTTGCTGGCATACCTATAGTCATAATTACATTTAAAATTTTGCCTGTCCAGACTATGAAAAGCTGTCATATTAAAACACTGTCCAGTGTTTTTTTTCCCTGACTGAAATCACGGTGACAAAAAGACCTCTGTCAATTATCCCGAGGCAGTTTCTTCATACAGATCTATACAAATTTGCAGTGACAAATCCCTGTCATTGCACTGTCAACACCATAACTTGCTAAAAGGGGAGAGCCATTTTCCAATGCCATTTTCAGTCATTTTATCAATTTTATACACCTCTATCCTTTTTTTCCCTAACTAGATAGTCCAAGACTATTAGAGTCAACAGAAACTTTGCCCTGGCTTTGGGAAGCCAGATGCCACCCACATGCTGTGCCCAAAGCCACCGCAGTGACAAACCTTCTGCCAGAACTCACCCGAGCCTGGGGGACAGGGCAGCCAGGCGTGAGGGGACACAGTACACAGGCCAGAGGGAACATGGCGCCTAGGCCAAAAGGGACTTTCTTACCCCGTGAAGCTTCATGTAGAGGCCGCAGGCGTTGCAGACGGGCTCGCCCTCGGCGTTCCGGCGCCAGAGGGTGGTGGTGGTGGTGTGGCAGTTGGCACAGGACAGGCCGAGTCGCCGCGACGAGGGCTGTGGGCAAGGGGAGGCAAACACACGTAAACAGGTGGGCAGGAGCAGACGGTCGGTGTTTTTGCAGGTAACATTCAAAAAGCAGAGATGGCGGGGGCTTTTTTTATAACATTTCTGAAGGATATCCTAGAACTGACACAAGATCATCCTCATTTTCAAGGCTGGAAAGGTGGTTGGAAGAGCCTGCAAGTCACACTTTGGGAACCACCAACTGGGGCCTCCACTGAGACCAGCGGGTTTTTCTCCAGCAGGACAGACCACAACACTGCTGCACCAAACACCTCCCTGCAGTCCCCAGCGGTGCCACGATGCCTCCCGGGACACAAACAACAAGCCTGGGCTTGGGCAAGGGAGAAGGGCTGAGAACAGCTTTTAGAGAGGGGAACACATCAAAACGCATCACCTTGTGGAACGGCTTCCTTATCATCCTGTGCTACATTATCATGTGAAAAACAACGTGTCTCAGGAATGAGTTTTACGGGGGGAGCTTTCCCTCGGCCGTCAGAAAAGCTGGTGTGGGACAACAAGGTCCACACTGCAAATAAGCCATTTATGGCACTCTTCCGTGGAGTTTGGAGCCAAGATGAGGCAACCCGGTATCAGAAATAACCGCATAACCTGGCACTTTATGGCTGCAGGCTGTATATCATAAGTGAAGGCAGTCCTCATAAACATGTGAAATGAAGGTGAATGGGTTATAAAAGTTCCTGTAACAAGTGATCTCTTTTACGTTCATCACAAGCAAAGAATTCCAGCTACATCGTAAATCTATTATTTTTCAAAGTATCGCATTGTCAAAAAAAAAATATAAAAAAAGCTGCGACTGGCTCTGTCTGGCAGCCAAACGAGTTTACGTGGAAAAGGCAGCTTTAGAGAATTGCATTCATCTTATTTTGACTATAAAGCGCCCATAACTGAAATGACTGAGTTGAGGGTACTATGCCCTTCCTCTTGAATCATTTACTGCTGGGTTGTTAGGCACAGCTCGGTCACCTTTGATACCACAGAGCTGCCTGCCACTTGGGAAACACACAGCGAAGCTTTGAGCATGGAGAATATTCCAGAGTAACGACCGAGTTTCTTGAATTTGGGCTGTTCCCATTTCTTTCACGGGAAATTCTTCATTCTGTGCTGCGGCTCAGAGCGAGCTCCAGATTTAATAGGATTTGTGCAACTTTGGAGCAGTAATTCATTATTAATTGCACAATAACAACAATTAAAAAACCAAACAAATATAATACAGGCCGAAATATATGCATATACTTTCTAATCTGAAAAATCCAATTCTCACAAAAGCAGGATTTGTGGTCTCAAATACATATAAATATGCTGCCCACTGCGCTCCACAATTCAGTACGAGTTTCACATGGAACAGGTTATTAAAAAAGTTGGTTGTAACACATATGTTGTGTTTTCTTTCTTTGCAAGCAAAATGCCATTTCACTGCTAAATCCCTCTGTCTTTCGCATGCAGTCTGCTGTAAATCTTTAATTTTATTTCCGTAGCTTTGCTCATTCCTGTATCTAAACAAACGAGAGTTTGGGGGCACATTTTGAAGCTAAAATGGATTTTCCATTGCAGGAATTTTATCAGAAACTTCGGGGAAATCTAAACATGTTTAGCATTTTCAAAACATTTTCCCTTCTCACCTACATATTTCCAACGGCGTGAGCACGCAGCCGCCTCTGATTTATAGCTCTGGCCAGTGTGCTTGGTGCAGAGTGTTGCACAGAGCTATTTCAGAGTTATTTAGCCGAGGTGTCGGGCTGAAATCAGGCTGCTGCCTGACTCTGAGTCAGTCTCCTCAGCCCTCTCCCCGCTCTGAAACAGTGAGCAGGGTCGGGGAGAGGTACGAGCCATCGAAATCTGCACCCAGCCATGTGCCGTGGGTAGCCGAGCTCTCCACTAAGGAGATAACACCTCCTGCAATGTGATTTGGTGCACGGCCAGCTACAAATGCACAGCCACCAAGCGGCAAACAGCTCCTGCCTCAGCATTACATTAACTTTGTCCCTTTAAGCAGGGGTGAGGTCGCTTTAGGAACAAGGACTATCCGCTCCCCGAGTGTCCGCTTTTTGCCTTCCCCCATTAAAGGCATTAAATTCAGACTGTTGTGAAATAAAGGGTGAGTTTAAACGCTACGAAAATAGGGACGGACTGGAGCAGCTGCTTTGATTGAAAGGCTCTTGAAGGGTCGATCGCTTTGCTACGCCGTCTCCGTACACAAGGGTCCAACCATCAGCTCGGATTATAGCGGTGTGATTTATTGTGGCTCGCTCCTAACAGCCATTACCAAGGCACGGATTCTTTTTCCCCGCTGACCTCCACCCAGATTTGCTAAACATAATGTGCAGTTCCCACTTGGTAAATTCTCTCCTTGCCTATTCAGTGCCAGCCGGAGTTATAAACAGGGGCTCTGGTTTGTACTATTTATTTCCCCATCCCCCCCCCCCTTGGTTTTAGGAGGATATTTTTAGAAAAATTACTGCTCATTTCTTAGGAGTCAAACAAAACAAAGGCTATTATCGTCGTTTAAACAATTGCTTTTCTTTGAGTTATATACAAAACTTGCTTACGTTCCCAAGGATCGAGCTCTCGGCAAACAAAGCAGGTCTGCAGAAATTCCTAGCGCTCTCAACAAACACTTTCCAAACCCGATTACTTTTTTTTTTTTCCCAACCCTTTTGGAAACCTTTGAAAGTAAACCTCCTCACACCGATGGGCTCCACTAATGCAAAATAAACCCCAAACACCTGTGTATGGGCAGAGGGTCCCAAAAAGAGGACCTCTGCCTGTGCCACCACTGCGCTGGCCTCCGAACTGGGACACCTCAGTGGTGTCCCTACGTCTCTCGCACCCGACACCCGCAGTCCACACTCACCACTCTCTTCTGGGGCTTGATGAGGGGCCGGCTGAGGCCGTTCATTTTGGTGTAGAGCCCGCAGGCGTTGCACAGGTAATTCCCGGTGCCGTCCCTCCTCCACAGCGGGGTCTGGATGGAGCCGCAGTTGACGCACTCGCGGCTTTCGGAGAGGTCTTCCAGCAGCTCTGCGGGCAGGAGCAGGGCACTGCGATGAGGCACGGCCGAGCCATTCCCCCGCAGCCCCCGAGGGTGAATTTCTTAAAATCCCCCCCCACACCACCTAATTTGTTGCTAGTGTTGTTTTCCTTTAATCCCACCAGACTCGCTCACTCCAAGCGCTGCCGCTGCCGCCGAAACGCCCCGCCGAAATGCCTTGCGGCAATGCCCTGCCGTAATGCAAGCCGAGGGCTCCTGCTCTTAGCCTCCCGGCTCCGAGCCCACCTGCGGGCCCGGGGCGGCTTTGCTCGGTGTCCCCGCCGGGCACGGAGCCGTGCGGCTTTCTGGTGGGAAGCGCCCAGCGAACGGGTACGGCTTCGGCCTTAGGGAGCCCGGGCTCCCATCTACAAAGGGGAACGAACGAACGCTTGGCTTATTCGGTTCAATTAGTCCTCGACGGGAGAAACGGGGAAATGGAAAAATCGGCGGCGTTGGGCCACCGTGCTCCGACGGCTGCGGAGCGCTAAGAAAGCGCTGAGCACGGCGAGGAGCAAAGGAAACGCGAGTGTAAAAGCGAACGCCTTCCCCCTGCTAATCTCCGCGCTTTCTCTATTTTGGGGGGGCAAAAAAAAAAAAAAAAAAAAAAAAAAAAAAAAAAAAAAAAAAAAAAGGAAAAAAAAAAAAAAAAACCACTCCAAAACGAAACTGCACTAAATACAAACGTTGCCTACACCGCTCCGAGATGAGCGTGGAAACGCAGAGCGCTGCTTGGGCAGGGAACGGCCCTTCGTTGTGCATCAGTGAGCGGCTAAGGGGGATCGCAGAGCTGCGATCCGCACTGATCCGTCCCCACACCAAGCTCCGGGCCGATGCTCCACGGGCGCTGGAGCTGTTTGATTTGTCTCTCCTCCGTAGTTCCCTTCGTGCCGACCGAAAGGAATTCTGCTCTGATCACACTGCCCGGGTTTGTTGGTTTTTTGATTTGTTTTGTTTGGTTTACATATATATATATATATATATATAGTTTCCCTTAACTCGTGATAAATATATTTATCTCCGTGGAAAGCAAAAATAAAGCTTTGATTTGAAATTACTTTTTGGTAGCCCTATAAGTAACGTTAAGTTAAGCGGCATCAGATCGCCTCGGGTTTTGTCAGAACCAAACCAAACGAAAGCGATGCCTGCGGGCTGCTGTGGGCCTCCCGTGCCACTGCCGTGCCCGACACAGCGGCACCCCGGAGCCCTCCCACCGACGGGCAGCCCCGGCCCGCGCTCCGCCGTCCCGACAACGGCTCTGTGGGGACGGGAGGAAGCCCGGAGCGGGGCAGAGCCGAAGTCCACCGGGCTCCATCGGCACTGCCCCTTCTCTCCCTCCCGTGTACCGTCTCGCCTCCTCAACCCCAAAAAAGTCTTTACGCGTTTTTATTTGCTGTTATTTTCCCCTTAGCTTTACGCTGCGGTTTGGGGAAATGGTGTACAAAGCGTTTGTTAAAACTTCGGCTTTGCTCTGCTCCGTTCCGCCACCGCTTCCGCCTCACCGCGACCCTCGTCAGCGGGCGCCGATCGGAGCCTTCGTACGTCCGACAGCCGCCCGGTGCCACCGGGAGACGGCGGGGACGGCCCGGGGGGCGGCAGCGGCACGGGGGGATGGAGCGGGCAGCGGGGGGGGCCTGGGGCTGCCCGGGAGCGGGAGAGTGCGGGTGTGCACGCACATCTATGCGTACATCTATCCCCATACACAGGTATATATCAGTACATATACCTGTATATATAAGTATGCAGAGACACGCATATAGGCATGTATACACAGATATATAAATATATATACATCTATAGTATATATATACATACGTACACTCGCACAGCCCCATCTCTCCCTACACACACTCACTCCTACCCCTACAGACACCCCCTAAAGCCGCACAGGCGGCAGCGGTTGTCACACCGCTGCGATTCCAAGAGAGATTCCCCCCCGCATCCCTCCCCGCAGCAGCACTGTGACACCTCCGAAGCGATCGGGACATCCCCGCACGGCAGCAGCGCGGGTGCCCGTTCCCATCGACGGAGCGAGGCTGAGTTTCGCCTTCTTTCAAACATACATAGATATTGGGTGTTTGGTTGTTTGGCTGTTTTTTAAATGAAGTAACGAAAAGCTTTGAGGATGAAATCATTAAGTAGTCCAACCGATAAGTAATTCAGCAATTAAGCGATTCGATCATTAATTTGATAATCCTATAGTTAAGAACGGGCTCGCACTCGGGGACGGCAGAGAACCCCGCGCCCCCCCACCCCCGCCCATCCCGGCACCATTCGCTTCGCGACAGCCCCGAACGAAGCGCCGTTCCCCGCCGCTCCCCCCGGACCCCACGCGGCCGCCGGCGGCCCCTACCTGCGCTGGGAGCCCGCACGGGGATGGGCGCGGCGCGGCCCTGCAGGCAGTGCAGCACGGAGTTCTCGAAGGGCGCCGCGGGCCAGGCGGGGCCGAGCTGCGGCCCCACGTAGGAGGCGTAGGGCGCCGGGTAGGAGCCGTTGAGCGGCCGCGGCAGCGCTCCGTACTGCTCCCTCGCCGCCAGGCCGCCGCCGTACTGCTCCCGCGAGGCGCCGTTGGCCACGGGCGGGCTGGGCGAGTAGGGAAAGCGGCCCGAGGGGTGCGCGCCGCCCGCGGCGCCGTACGAGGGGCTCTCGGTCGCCGGCTGCGACCAGACGTGGCCGGCCGGAGCGTGGCCGGGCTGGGCCGCGCCACCACCCTGCAGGTAGGGCAGCGTGGGCAGCACGGAGCCCACGCGGGTGGTGGGCACGTAGACGGGCGAGCTGGGCGCGGAGTGCATGAAGCCGCCCGGAGATCCGTCGTAGGGCGCGGGGCCCTGCGAGGCCGAAATGGCCAAGGTCTGGTACATCGCCGGCGGCCGCTCCGAGTCCGAAGGCAGCGAGAGCGGCGGCGGGACGTCCTCCTCCCGGCGGGCGGGCCGGCCGGGAGCGGGGGCGGCCCCGAGGTGCGGCGGGGCGGGCCGGGAGCTGCCGCCGGGCTCCGGAGCGGGGGTCCCGGAGGTGGAGGAGGGCGAAGGAGGCGCCCGGGCGGCGAAGGGGTACGAGGACGCAGCGCACCGCTCCGCCGCGCAGCAGCCGCCTTCAGCCACGGCCATGCAGCTCCGCTCTGCGCGCTGGGTGGGGACGGGAGGGAGGAGGGAAAGGGGAGGGGGTCCGAGGGGGGGGGAGGGGGGGGCGGGACGAGAGAGGGAGGGGAGGGGGGAGAGAAATGACAACAACAACGTTAGCGCGGGGCGGCCGTAACGGGACCCGCCGGCTCCCGTCCGCACCTCCGCGACTCACAGCTGCGGGGGGGGCAGGGGCACGGGGGTGCGGCAGAGCTCCTTCCTCGGTCGCCGCCGTCCTTACGATTCCCGGTGCGATGAATGAGTCGTTTGACAATGTTCCGCGGTGACAAGCACCGGGAAGGCGATCGCTCTGAGGTTACTTCGCGCATCGCCTCTATCGTCCGCTCCTTCCCAGCACGGGGAGCGGGGAAAGCAGCCGGGGGGGCGCGGGTCCGGAGCCGACGGCTGCAGGGACAGGGACCGGGATGGCTCCGAGCCCTCCGCCGCCGCATCTCCGAGAGGAGACAGTGTCTCTGAGAGGGGGCACCCGTAGGGACCGACACGCAGATGGGCGCGGAGCGCGTCTCCCTCCCGCCCGAGATAAGCGGCAGATAAGGGCCGGCAGCTAGATAAAGCTGCGGCCCCGCCGTCGGATGTTTGCCCACAAACCTCCCTCGGGCTCCCCCGGCGGAAAGCGAACGGAAAGGAGCGGGAAGAACGGGGGCCCAAACCTGCTGCCGGCTCCGGGCCGGGAGGGATCCAGCGCCGAGGGGCAGCGGCGGCGGCGGGCGGCGTATAAATGGGAGAGAGGAGGCGCCTCTCGCCGCCGGGCCGGGAAAGTGCAGGCGGAGCGGCCCTGATTGGGCTCCGGGCGCTGAGCAAACAGCGGCTCCGCGGGAGCTGCGGGCGGGCGGCCGGGGGGGCACCGCAGCGCTCGGGGCCGGGCAGGGGAGGAGGGGGGGCGGGGGGGCCGCGCTCGGCGGTGTCGCTGCCGTTAACCCTTCGTTCTGCTCCTTAGCATCGGAGCGCTGCGAGGGGGAACGCGCGCTCCTCCCCGGCCGTCAGGTGAGGCCAAAGCCGTGTGCGAGCCGGCTGCGCATTTCTCCGCTGCTTCTTTCTCGATCTCCTTTTTTTCCTCCCTCTTTCTCCCCCCCTCTACCTTCCCCACCTCCCCCCACCCTCCGATCCTCTTATCTCAGCTGTGTACAAACTGATAGCGGGAAAGTGAGTGGAAAATTAAAATAACGGCGTTGCCCCGAGGTTATCGCCTGCGGATCTGTCGGCGTCGCTCCGCGAAGGGCGAGGGTGGAGAGGGGGGAAGAGAACCTGGGGGGGCAGAATGGAGGAACGAGTGGGAACGTTCCTCTGCCGGATTGTAGCTTTCCTCCGGGCTCTGCGTGGGTACTGATGTTGTCCTGCCGGATTAGGAGTTTTGTTTTATTTGTATTTTATTTTATCTTTTTAAAAATAGTAATTTTTATTTCATTCCATTGCATTCCGTCGTTATTTTTACCTTTTGATGTTTTTGAGCGGGCGTAATAATACGTGGAAAATAACCTTTTCAAAGCAGCGATCCGCTGTCTCTCAGCGCCCCGCGCTCAATCCCACACGACTTTGCCACGTAAAACGCTTTTTCTTTCTCCCTCCGTGTTCGTTACCTGCGGAGGAGCTCCGGGGGTGATACAGACGCCGCCTTTCCCCCCACACGCACCGATCCCCGCCCCTAAACGCCGCCGGTTCCACGCTCCCTTCGGGTCGGGCCGAGCTCCGCGGGGCGCAGACCCCCGGCACGGCTGTGCCCCCCGCAGCCCTGCTGCCGCCAGCTCCTCGTGGCCTCATTCCGTGCCCAAATCGCCGCCTTCTGACATAACGGTGAGCCCCCAAACCCCACAGCCGGGCGTTGCAATCCCTTAGGGCAACCCCACCGGGCGCTCCTCATCTAAAGGAGGGCCCGGCTGCGAGGGGTCACTTTGGGAACCGTCGCGCTCTCCCCGGGCGGTGTTTATGTAACGCCTTGACTCGAGCGGCGCGGGGAGCGAGTGGGGCCGGGCCGATAACGCAGCGCCCTGAGCGCCGACGTGCCGCCTGCGCGCCCCTCCGCTCCTTATCCCAGCGCCTTAAAATACGCTGTTATCGCCGCCACCCCCCGCGCTGGGACATCGGGGCCGACGTTATCGCCCGGGCAGCGGCGGGGCGGGCAGCGGGCGCTCCGTCCGTCCCCTCGGGCCCGACGGTTGGTGGAACTCTCCCCCTAAAAGCCCACGGCGGTTCCGAGGGATCTTGACGCGTTCCCTTCTCCCTATCGATAAGGGCTCCCGGGGTCGGAAAGAACATTTCGTTTTCTGCTTCAAAAAACTGCGGGCAGCGCTGCGCTCCCGTTCCTGCGCTAAGAACCGCCGCGGGGGCCTTCCGAGGAGCGAAACCACCGCACCCAGCCGGGCACGGCCCCCGTACCGCCTTCCCCTCTGCTTTCGACTTCGGCTTTTTTGTTGTTTCTATTGCCAGCACCGCCGGCAACGGGCGTCCCATTGGAAACAACGTTCGTGTGGGACAGTCTGAAACAAAGATGCAACTTACATATATATACGCACGTATATATAATTACATATACACGCACGAAATATATAAATATATATGCACTCACACATATATACACTCACATATATGTGTGCGTATATATAAATATATACACTGTGGATATATACGTATATGTAGATTGTGTGTGTATATATCTATATGTATATGTGCACACACGAAAATTGCAATCTGACTGCAGAAAAGCCTCCAAAACAACAGATTTCTGATTGCCGTTCCGTGAGCAGTGGCACAATTTGGGGCCACTCCGTTGCTGCTCGTCTGGAAAGGTCGGGATCTCTGCCGGGGGCCGCCCGATCCGTTCTGTAAATTGAAGTCTCATTCGATCAATTGGAAAAAAATAAAAAGAAAAAAGAAAAAGAAAAAAAAGAAAAGAAGCGAATAGAAGCAAACCAAAGCCGCCGCATTGCAGCGGGAGGATCTGAGGGCTGGCTGAGAACCGATTATTGAAATAATCATAATTATAATTAAGAAGTGCGGATGCGACGGGACACCCCCACCCTTTCCCCAATCCCGCTCCCCCTTATTTTGTACACCTTTTCTCTTTCCTTCCGCCTTTATCCCACCCAAAGGTGCCTCCGGCCCCGCGCAGATCCCCGCGCAATCTCCGCCGTTCTCGTCCCGTCCCCGCGGCAGCATTTGTCCGTTCGCTACGCAAAGGATCGGCGCTTTTCGATTGCTTTAGGAAAACGCCTGTCTGTGTGTTACCGACGCATCGAATTTATTGCTAATTACGACGACATCGGGATCGGAAAGTCCCAAAAGATGCTTGTGGCCGGGAGGCTGCACTGTTGCCGTCCCATCGCCACCGTCGGTGTGTTGTAAAGGGTCACAGATGAGTGCATTTGAAGGTGCGAACTGCTCTGTTTCAGCCCCGATTGGATGCATGCGAGTGCAGCCGGGCGTGCTTAGGGGCTGGCTTTGCGCACTGTCATCAGTTTCTACGTTTATCACCGTCGATGATAAAACTCAGGGAAGAAATTAAAGCCTTTAGCACAGCGGTGCCTGAGTATGTGGGAGTCATCCCGATGGCTCTGCTTTTCTTTTCAGCATTCGTAACATGGGCAGGGTGTAACCGGTCCTTAAGAGATGAGTTGTCCTCTTCAACTAGGGATGCCCGATGGTTCTATGGCTCTAAATCCACGCGCTGGAATCTGCACAGTGGCTATTTCCGAGGAGAAAAAAAAAAAAAAAAAAAAAGACGTAGGCATCTTTGATGAGCCCTGAGTGTATCAGCATCAGCTGTGTAACAAAACGCCTCCGGGGGTTTGTAAGCAGGACTGCAACTGGGTCTTGCACTGAGCTGCTATTCAGAACGACCAAACAGAAGCTGAGCCATGCACAACTGCAATATCTAGCTGTGAAATAAAGCAATTTAAAAATATTTTTTTTAAAAAAAAAAAAAAAGCTTTTACTTATTAGAGATTTGTGCACGTTACTTGCTTTTGCTGCAGCCCTGCAGAAACGTGCGTGTTCTGTGGGACAGGGTGGCTGCTCCCTGTGTTTCACACTGGGCTCTGTCATGTTACCAACACCTCTGTAGTGCAGGTGCCAGGGAGCAGCGTGGGCACTGAGGCTGTGCAGGAGGATGGGGATAGACAGAGGGAAGTGAGGTGGCAGCGAAGGTTCACACTGATGTTCTGTTCTTACATACTACATAGAGCAATGCTCTCTCAAGTGGATGTATTTTAGCCCGAACCTAGGCTCCAAGCTGTACCCTTCAGGTTCTCCCTACAGAAGCAGGCACTGCTCAACTCCCAGACCCTGCCTCTCGCTGGGCTCCATTTTCGTATCTCCTCAGTTTGGCTTTTGATAGCTTCAACAGAATTGCTGAATGACATTTCCTTCGGTGGGGCTTTTCCAAACAAATTAGCTTCATCTCTGCTTGCAAGAAATAGAAAAACATATTTTTTCTGGTGCCTGCCTGGAACGATGCGTGCCTGCGAGGTCCAGAGGGCGACACCTCTTCCAAAGCATTTCCTTTAATACATCCATAGAGGAGAAACTAATGGCTGGGAGCTGTGCCTACGAGAAAGCTAAAAACATTCTGTACAAAAATACACTGTCCGAAGCCAAGTGTTTGGGCTGTAGGAACACAGAGCTGACTTGGGTGCATGTGCAGAGGGGATCAGAAAGCAAATAATTTGACCTGAGCTGGAAAGGGAACACAGAGGGATGGGGGCAATGGGCCCCTCACTCAGCAGAAGGAGGGAGAGCTGCCATGGGTCCATCCCACTCTTTGCACGAAGGCAGAATCCAGCAGCACTAGAGCTGCATGTTGCTAAAAGGAACAGCAGTACATCTCCATTGTGGTATTCAACGTTACGAGGGTTCCCAGTATCTGTCAGTGAATGTCAAAAATAGGCTATTTAATGGACTAAATTATTTTATCAGCCCTCCTTTTGGAAGGGAGAATCCTGCTGAGTAAAGCACAAGAAGTAAATAAAGCCTCACCACTGAGGACCTGGCTGCAGTGGGAGTTTTGCTGGAGAAGGGCCCGTAAGAATTGACCTATTTAATTAAAATGTGACAGCATGCATTTTCCTTTACATCACTACACCCCGGTGTCAGCCTTAGGGTCACAGATCTGTTACAGCTGAGCAAAGTGTCCCATCTCGGGTCCCCCACCTTGGTTAAAAACAAAGCAAAAAAGTGCTCTTAGGGAAATGTGTTAATGATTAAAAATAAACGTAATGGTCTAAATGAACGCTATGAACAGTATTAAAAAGGATGGTTTAATTATGTTGGTTGATGTCAGTTAATCATTTTGGGGCCATCCAGATCTAAACCGGGGTAATTTATTGACTGCAATAAAAACTGGACGTGTGCCATATTATTCAAGAAAAACAATACACTGCAAAAACAATACGGAGAAGAGGTAATTTGTACAGAGTTCATGAGACAATTATATATCATCTAAGCACAAAACTGACTCACTATGCCCTTGGCTCCATTTATTAGGAGAGGTTTGAAGGATGTGCTGAACATACTGAGAGTCCAGGAATTTTAACTGAAATCCTGCCTGTGTGCCCAGGTAGACACCCAGGGACTGGTGTGACCCAGCACACAGACCAGGGAAGCATTCCTGGATTCAGGACTCAGGACATGACTTCATTATTTGGTGCTGTTTTGCTGAGGAGTGCCTTGAAACTCGATCAATAATATCATCAGAAAACTTTGATGAAGAATTCAAGACCCAAAAAAAAAAAAAAAA